CATGATGAATATCTGAGAAACACGAAAATAATTTTACAAATTAAACACATTTGAATTTAACTGCTAATATTGGCATTCTCAAAACAATATTAACTGAAATTCACTGACATCTCAAAACACCAAGAGTTAATGCATGATACGAGAGTAACCCTACATAACTCAACATTCGCAAGAGAGGGGCTTTCAAAGGCCCATTAATTTCCATAAGTCAAAACCAAATTCATGACGAACGAAATTAATAGTCGGTCTCCATTTGGCCGTGCAATAAATTCAGGGACCCCGAGGGGAGTTATAAATAAATTGCATTCTAAGTGAATCTCATTTCTCGATCCTGAGTTCATACGAATTCGATTATACGTCATCCGAATTGAAGCCCGTACTCTCTCATAAAACTCCATCCAATCTTCTAATTTAGAAAATTGTCCTGGTAATTACCTACAATAAATTTTAGCGATGTTACCCAAGGGAGAGTCCATAACCGATGAATTTATTTACCGACAAATTAGAAATGGAGGCCTTAGGAATTTTACAATTAACTGTAATTTAAAATCTCTTCTCAAACTTAGTATAATTTAAATGAGGATTTTTACTTATTTAAATATTTATGCAATTCTAAATTAATCCTATGTAAATGCAATAATTAATTAACATGCATAAATAAATATGCAATTCTAAATTAATCCCATGTAAATACAATAAATAAATAGATAAATAATTAATGGCATAATGAATTTAAATAAATAAATAAATCCACTATTATGGCCATTAAATATTGAGTTCCCATAAACAAGGAAACCTTGTATATTTTGTTTTCCCTGTCCAACTGGAACTCCGACTGCAGTAGAATCCTTGTAGATCTTGTACTGCTTGGACACCAAATAAACCTCTCCACCGTCGACAGCCCGCCGTCGCCGCCGCCCGGTCGCCGGTGGTCAGAAAAAAATATTTTTTTTTTTTCGCGCGCCTTCGTGCGCATCTCCGGGCTCCAGTCCGGTTGCTTTTTCGAGGCTCGCTGATTTCTTATAATCTCCCGACAATTAATCCACGATTACAATACGAAAATATAATTTACAAAATTACATAATCTTATCCTAGATCCAGGATGTACATGTTTTTCTAAACAAATAATTAAATCTATCTGGTCAAACCTCGGGCGAATACTTATTACAAACATTCATCCATCAAATTTCTCGACATGTCCGAGGCTTTAAAAACAAATTTAAAACCTTACATCACATTCATCAAACACATAGTCGGCCATAATAGTGGATTAAACTAATTCCTGCAAAACCGAGTTATGCGAATATAATCCAATATATGGTTGCTTTTGAACACATCTTGACAAATAAAGCCGTAAAAATTTGAACTTGTACACAACGAATTAAAACAAGTGCTCTGATACCACTTGTTGGGATCTATCAGGATCTCGTTATATACTTGTCACGAATTCAATAGCAAACGTAAACCTATGCGCAGCGGATCTAAAGGTTTGCGTAGAAAACTTACGACTTAAAATTTATGGTGATCTGGCTGATCTTCTTGATATTCGTACACAGCACACCAATGAAAAGTACACTGCAAATCGCATCAGGGTTGCACGAACAGGATCGGATCAAAAAACGGAAGAAGGCAAGTTGCAGTCCTGGGAGCTTGCGGCGGCGCGTGCGGCATCGGACAGCTGCGATCTCAGCGGCGTTGGGAAGCTCTCATCGAGACGGTCTTCTGGTATGTTGCACGTCTTGATCGGACCTCCGGTTAATTCTGTACGACAAAATATATTTCGTCTCGGTTTACCCAAAGATCTTCTACTGTATATCTCAAACACCTCTTAATCTTGTATCGGTGGAACAACAAGAAGAAGATAAAGCTCGAATGTGAACTGAGAGAGAGATTATGGGGTGCGGCCGAATTGGCGTGTGATTATAAGACTTCTCTCCTCTTCCCATGAGCTTAATGATGTATATATAGAGCTACAGTAGGGACCCTTAGGAGATTAGGAGAAGGACTCCTTAATTGATTAAAATACTTGTGGACCAAACCACTTATTTTAATTAATTAAATAATATTAAATGGGCTACCAACATATTTTTTTTTTTTATATAAACATCCCAGTGTGGGATGGGGAGTTGAGGCTACACCCCCGACCTGTGAATATAATGGTCCATAGAGGTCTAAAAAGTCAGTGGTCTACATCAATGTCAAAGATACATAGAACAACATCAAAAACAGAAAAACAAAAAGTACAAGGATTACATAGTATCAAGTCCTCATAAAAGGTCGTCCCGGTCAGAGTGGCCTGGCATGGGGTCCAAAACGACAAGTCTAGTCAGGGTCAGGTGGTGGCCGTCGTCCGAATCTGAAGGATGGATACTCTAGCTGGTCCATCCGAATGAGCGTTCGAAACCGGAGGGGAATGTCCTCAGGATGAAGGATGTGTCTTTGGGGTGTAGATGCCCCTTGCTAGCAAATAAATCAGCGGGCCGATTCCCCTCTCAGAAAATGTGTGAGACCTGGTAATGGATCGAGCGGATGGTGTCTCTGATGCGCATAAGGGGATGCTGGATCTGCCATGAGCCCTGGTGGCCAGATGTCAAAAGTGTGCTGACAGCTGCAGCATCCATCTCTATCCAGATATGGGAGGAGATCGAGGCGGCAATCTCAAGACCAATCTGGAGGGCCTGAATCTCTGCATCATAACTCGAGGAGGCCCAGAGTGGCCCATGGAAGGCAGAAATGAGTGCCCCACCATAATCCCTAATCAGGCCCCCTCCTCCAGCAGCTCCGGTATATCTGTCGAATGCGCCATCTGTGTTTAGCTTAACCCAAGGGGCCTTGGGTTTCAGCTAAACAACGGTCCTAGGTCGTGGGTGTTGGACAGGTAAAGGAGGCGGTGGCCTCAAATGGTGGGGCGGTGTACAACCTGTCCAGTCTCTCGTCGTGAGTCTACTCAGGGCGGTGAGAAGAGAGAGAAAGGTGTCTGTCAACCTGCAAAATGATGTGAGCACAAGAAAATATAATATCCCTATGCTTCGCGTTATTCCTTTCTGTCCAGGTGGCCCATAGGATCAGACAAGAAATAAGGAAGCCCACATGTCTACTGTGTGTGCGGTGTGAGAAAAAACTCAGGAGCTCAAAAAAACTGTCTGTAGTGGGTAGTGGTATATGAGTATATCTGGCATAGTGCTCCCACACTCTCCTCACAATCTCACTCTCAAGGAAAAGATGGGTGAAAGTCTCGATCTCAAAGGTACCGGTCTCAGCACAACAATGCCAACGAGAGGGGAAGGAGAACCCTCTCGCCTGCATCACAGTGTCAATGGGAATGTGCCGTAATAGGAGACGCCACAAAAAGACAGAAATGGTCGGGGTGAGAAGGTCGGTCCAGATGGCCCCGAAGAGGGAGTTAGGCCGGTTTCCCAGCCTCACATCTCCCCAGGCCGATGACGTAGAGAATGCACCCGAAGATGTAAATATCCACCTCATGTCGTCCAAACCTCCCTCCAGAATAGGAATCTGTCGGATCTGGTCAATCTCTAGTCTACTAAAACCCCCACCCTCCCCAAGAATATCCTCAATATTATCTCTATCCTAAACTCCCCCCCGTACAAAGGTCCTTCACCTGCATGAAAGGCGGGTGAGTGATCGGCCTAGTACTCGAAAGAGGGGCCTCGCCGAACCACCACTCATCCTAGAAGCTAACCTCCCCAGAACCCAAGGTCCAAATTATGTGCTTCTGAGCACGCCTGCCAACAATGGTGAGCCGTCTCCACTGCCAACTATCCCGAGCAGTGGCTGTCACCCTGCAAAGATGGGCAGCCTCACCAGGGCAATATTTTCTCAGGAGGTATTGGGCCCAAAGGGACTTGCCCTCCCTAAGGCGCCACCACATCCTGTAGGAAAACGCAGTCCGAACATCAGAGAAACGCCGAATCCCGAGCCCACCCTCAGAATGGGGACGACATATGGAATCCCACTTCACCCAGTGAGTCTGCCATCGTCCCTGCGAGCCCTCGCCATGGCTCCAAAAATAGCGGGCTAAGATCTGATCTAACTCATGAATCGTAGACTGATAGGGGTCAAGAACCGCGAAAAGGTGGAGGGGTAGGGCACAAAGACTGCACTTGATCAGAGCAGGTCGGCCTCTGAAGGATATGTGTCTGTGCAACCAGCCAGAAATCCGGTCAATCATCCTCTAACGGACGTCGATGAAAAGCTCATGGGAGAGGTGGCCCTTGTACAGGGGGCCCTAAGGTAAGGGATGGGTAAGTCCTCACGAGCAAATCCAGTGCGATTGTGAATCTGGTGGGCCCAATGGTCTGTAATGTGGTGGTCCATAGTAAAGGTGCTCTTACTAACACTGACTAGCTGGCCAGATGTCTTACTGTAGTGGTCCAAAAGACTCATGAGATCTACTAGCCCATTATCATTCGCACGAGTGAAAATGATAATGTCATCCGCATAGGAGAGGTGGGAAATGGGAGGCCCACAGCCACGTGTGCTGTAGGTCATCTTTGGAAAGTCGCGAATGAAGCCGTCAAGGCAGCGAGAGAGATAGTCAGCCACCAGAACAAAAAGGGAGGGGAATAGGGGGTCCCCTGACGAAGGCCGCGGGTAGAAGGAAAAAAGGTCGTAGGACTACCATTAATCAAAACGGAGAACGTGCAGTGCTCCACACGCCTCCACAAAGCTAATCCAATGGTTAGAGAATCTCATCCGAAACAGTACCTCTCTGAGAAACGACCACTCGACCTTGTCATATGCTTTGGCCATGTCTAGCTTCAGCACGAGGTTCGGGGTTCGTGTTCGATTCGCATAAGAGATATCGTGTATCATCTCCTGAGCCAGAAGGATATTATCACTAATGACTCGATCTTTGATGAATCCACTCTGGTTCGAAGAGACAAGGTGGGGGAGGAGAGAGGCGAGGCGCCCGTTGAGGATCCTAGAGATGATCTTGTTAGTCACGTTGCATAAGCTGATAGGTCTATAATCAGACCAAGAACTAAGTCCCGATCTCTTTGGGATCAAAATAATGGAGGTTTCTGTGAAGGACTCTGGCATCTGGTGGCCAGAGAAGAAATCCCTCATAGATTCCTCTACGTCAGTTCCTACAATCTCCCAGCAAGACTGGAAGAAGAGGGACGAAAAAAACCATCCGGTCCGGAGACGCTGTTGGGATCGATCCCAGACACAGCCTTCCTGACTTCCTCCTTACTCGGGAGGTCACAGAGGTCGACGAGGTCGACCGACTGCAGAATGGTCGGAAATAGGGCCGGGTCAGGGTGCGTAGGCAAGTGCCGCTCAGAGGAAAAGAGAGAGTAGAAGTAAGCCTTAGCTGACTCCCGTATCTGGGTCTCCTGGATCATAGATGACCCATTATCCTCGATACTATGGATATATGACTTGACTCGCTTCTGCCTCACGAATCCCTGGAAGAACTTGGTATTACGCTTCCCCTTAGCCACCCAACGCACAGCAACCTTCTGCTTCCAGAAATCCTTCTCCATGAGGAGGCGCAACTGGTACTGAGCATGACAGCGGCGCATCTCGGACCTATTCTCTGGCGAAGAATCCAGATAATAGGTCTGTTCGGCCTCCGCATACGCAGTCTGAGCTGCGATAAGGCGCTGACAAATATCACCAAAAGTCGTCCAGTTCTACTGTTTCAAAACGCGGTGGAGCCTCCTGAGCTTCTCCTCCAGGTTACGCATCCCATAGTAGTGCGTAGCCTGCTGCCAAGAAGCTCTAACAATATCGTAGTAAGAATGGTGGCGAACCCACATGTTCTGGAAACGAAAGGACGCTCGTCGAGGGGAAATAGAGAACCTACAACGAATCAGAAAGGGGGCATGGTCGGATCCAATTCGAGGAAGATGCGTTACAACCGTGGTCGCAAACACCCTCGTCCACGCCTCTGAGTAAAGAGTGCGGTCGAGCCTCTCCTTGACTCCAGCCCTCTCCCACGTATAGGGAGCCCCTTCGTATCCAGCGTCGATGAGCTCATAATCCGATACAGCGTGCGAGAAATCTAAGATCTCCACTGAGCGATCCGATACACCACCAATGCGTTCATCGGGATGCAAGAATATGTTGAAATCACCACTAACCATCCACGGTAAACCCTCCATACTCTCAGCAATCTCACGCATGGTGTCCCAAAGGTCCTAACGACCAACCCTCGCACAGCTGGTGTAAACCAAGGTGTGGAAGATCGGCTCCGAAAGGTTGGCGGCGGTGAGCTTCACGTCCAAGACCTAATCAGTATCTCGAAGGATCTGGCAAGTAAAGTCACGCGAGTGGAAAAACCAAAGCTTGTTAGAGGTGTTGTCCATCCCGGCATGGAAGCCAAGGCGGTGCGAGTATACGTCAAAGGATGGGTCACGAGTCATAGGTTCTCAAAAAGCCGCAAAGTCAAGGTTATGCGAACAGATGAAAGAATTAACAAGACCAAGGGTGGTTTTATTAGCCAGACCACGGGCATTCCATGTAATCGATGTGACTGACATGTCAAACGTCAATGTATCCACCTAACTGGAGCTGTCTGTGGTTAGGCTGTGTCTGTATGTCTGATAGAGACAAAACTCGGCTAGCAGAGAGTTGCGCAGTCATCGATCTGGTCTGTGGTCTCTGGTGCTCTGGGATCTCCTGGGAAGGGCCCTCTCGCATAGATGGAATCTCTTGGGGTAGGAGGATGAGCTGTAGGTGATCCAAGCCATCGGAGCTCTGCTCCTGGCCCTGTGGGGAAGACGGACCAGACTCGATAGCGGGGGATGAGGGGGAAGTCGAAGGAAGGGTCAGAAGGGGTCGAGCTGGTGGGCAAGGGAGAGGCTCAGGCTCAGACAATGAGGTAAGGTGGGGGGAGGGCTCTAAGATCATGAGAGCTGAGGAGGAAGGGAGAGCCTCGATACACAATGGGATGGAAGGAGACTCTATCTCATCCACTAATAGATCATCATCATCAAAAGGGGAGCTGGTCGATGCTCCCAGATGATCAAAGGAAATGTGAAACTCCTCCTCTGACTCCGAGTCAAGCACATAGAAGCGAGAATGGGTAGCTATGGGAGCTGACTGGAGGGACTGGTGGGGGAAAAGGCTTATAGCTTTGGCCTTAGGCCTATCGAGGTAAATCTCCTTGGGTTGTGTGCCCTCAAAGGTGATCTTGCCCTTGCCTTTTGTCCCTTCAGATTGGCACCATGGGTCGGGGCCTTGCCCTTCTCCTTAGGGCTCCTTGGGGCAATAGTAGAACCCTGCCTCGCTACACGTCGACGGGGGGCAAAGCAGGTCGGGGCTTGTTTCCCTTGGTGTAGCATTCTGCAGGCCCATGTCCTACATGGCTGCATAGGGAGCAGAATGGTTGTACTCTCTCGTAGACCACTTTCTGGATAGTGGTCTTGCCTGCTTGGTCAAGCTCAATCTCCTTGATGAGCTCGTCCCTAAGATCAATCTCTACGCACACCCATGTGTCAGAAAGTCTCGAGCAGTTTGCTGTAGCGGCGTCAGTCTCAATGAGGTTGCCAATGCAATTGGCGATCGAGAAGAGGGCAGAAGGATCAAAAAGATGAAGAAAGAGGCCCGATAGGCAGCACCATACCGGGACAATGAGAGATTCCTCAACAAAAGAGAAATCAGGGGTGTATTTGAACACCCGACCCGAACATCCAAATATATTAAGGTGCGTCTTAACCCAAACAGCATTGTAGTCCTCTTTCAGCTCAAAAAAGAGTAAATAGTGATTATAATTAAGAAACTTAGGAGACACTCTACCCTTGAAACCCAATTTGTCCAGACCGACAGATAGATCCCGGAGGGAAGGGACAGTGAAGGAAAACTTCAAGATGAGTGCATTATCAAACGACCCAGCTAGGGAAATAACAGTGGGCTCAAGAAAACTTACCTTGAATCTGCCCTCCTCGGAACGGGTGACGGTCCCGCTCTATTTGTCCCGAAAGGACGCCAACGTCAGTCTTTGGTGGCCCGGTTTGACGGTGTATGTGCCAGAAACCGCATCTCGAAAGGAACGTGCTCCAGTAGGGCGTGGTCCTTGGGTCGCCGTGTGGGGAAGGGGGATGACCGAACCCGGTTCTTGGACCGAGCTTCCCTCTGTCGGCCGGTCACTATGGGCCAATACCGGCAAAGACATGGAGGGACCGCGGCGCAATAGTCCAGCCGTACGCGAAGAAGTAGAGCCGTCGCCGTTGTTGGTAGAAATGGACGGTCTGGCCTCTGCAGTGGAGGTAACAAGGCCTGTCCCAAAAGATTCCGGCAAGGTTTCACCCGCCGAGATGGAGAGAGGGGCCGTAAGAGAAGGTGAGACATTGGGTTCCGCCTGATTGTAAGTGACCGGCACTGCCGCGAAAGCCTGGAAGTGAGCTGCCGGCCGGCTTCACGGGGGTTAGGCCGGAGGTCAGAGACAGTTGGTTCGGTGGAGCACGACTGTCTGAGAGCGGAGGAGCCATCATGTTAGGAGCAACGGTCATTTGGTGGTGGCCGACGCCGGCGCCGGGGATGGGGGTAGTGACGCCGACCGGCGACAAGATGGCTGATGTGGAAGTTGCCGTCGTAGACTGGGACGGGGGTCGACGGTCGTCCTGGGGAAAAAGGATATAATGTCCATTACAATTGAAACTCCAACATAATATTATTGCACTCCCTAAACCTGGAAGTCGCCACCAACATAATATTATTGCACTCCCTTTTCCTAGCCCAATTTACAATTGAGACTCTAATAATAATTACTCGATTTATCTCCCCATGTTTAAGATATAATGTCCATTAATTAATTTGATTACTGACAATCAAGAATTAATTAATTTATTATTATTTCACCGAAGCTAGCGTTCGTTCATCACATTACTACTATGCCAGAATTTAATCCACCTGCAGGGTTTAGCATAATAATCCTTCATGAACTCACTCCGGGGACATCATGAAACTAATGCACATGGTGACCGTAAATATCCTAACAACACATCCTACATGCAGTAACATTACCCAAGATAGCGGGTCTATTAGCCCAGCTCACTAAGTCTCACTCATGTGAATCAAAGTAATAAGTACTACACATATATGCTTGTTTAATATCTTATGGGTTAAGAGTACGCATTAATTAACCAAGGCCTAGTTCGTTTACGAAGGTCAGTATAAAACGAACTGCTCCTCTCTGGAATCCTGTTCAATACATAAATGTACTAGTGCAACTAATCATTCAAGACAAACTGTACGGTTGACACTACAACCGTTCACGATAGGGTGTTCATGTCCATCTGGGTTGTGAACCAATTATTCTTGTTTCACGAGTAACTGATAGCATGATCTTCGGTTCGCTCGGTAACGATCCACACTCTCTAATGCAAACAACAGAACGTAGAACTTGTTTAATCTAACATGTTTCTCATTCATAATGGGTAAAAGTGTAATCTCATCCAAAGCCAAGCTTTCAGTATATAACACTTACAGAACCGAGTTCCCTTAAGGAAGCTCTGTCCAACCTAGATGGACCACTCTGGGAAGAAGATGTAAATAGCGAAATCGAGTCTATTATGCAAAATCATACTTGGGAGTTGGTTGATTTCCCTGATGGTTGTAAACCTTTAGGATGCAAGTGGATCCTAAAGAGGAAATATAAAGCTCATGGATCGATTGATAAGTTTAAAGCATGATTGGTGGTCAAAGTAATCAAACAAAAGGAAGAGTATGATTTATTTGATACGTATTCATATGTTACGCGTTTAGCATCGATAAGAGTACTTCTATCGATTGCTGCTTTGCACAATCTTGAGATTCACCAAATGGATGTCAAAACGACATTTTTGAATGATGAATTGGAAGAAGAAATATACATGGAACAACCTGAAGGGTTTGTTGCACATGGACAAGAGAGAAATGTTTGTAGATTAATCAAATTCTTGTACGGACTGAAACAAGCTCCGAAACAATGGCATTTGAAATTTTATGACGTGATGTTGACAAATGATTTTAAAATCAACGAATGTGATAAATGTGTTTATGTCAAGAGTACATCAAATACATTTGTTATTGTATGTCTATATGTAGATATAGGTCTGGCTGATGTTATTCTTGGAATAAGGAAAAAGAATGTTGAAGAGAAATTTCGACATGAAAGATATGGGTTTACCTGATGTTATTCTTGGAATAAGGATTATCAGAACTCAAGATGAAATTGTCTTGTCACAATCTCATTATGTAGAGAAAGTGCTCAAGAATTTTGATACCTATGACGGTGCATAGTCTAGGTATAAGACACCCCTTGATCTCAGTATAAATCTGGTAGTCAACAAAGGTTAACCAGTGGCTCAGTGGGAATATTCACAAATAATAGGGAGTCTGATGTACTTGACGAATTATACACGACCAGACTTGGCCTATCCGGTGAATAAGTTGAGCAGATTTATGAGCAATCCCAGTCATGAACACTAGAATTATTTGAGAAGGGAACTTAAGTACTTGAGGTACACCCTTGAATACGGGCTAAAATACTCGAGATACCCAGCCGTTCTTGAAGGGTACTGTGATGCAAGCTGGATATCAGATTCGTGAGATTCTCGCTCCACTAGCAGATATGTTTTCTGTATTGGAGGAGGTGCAGTTTTGTGGAAATCCACAAAACAAACATGTATAGCTCGGTCACTATGGAATCAGAGTTCATCGCTTTAGATAAAGCTGGTGAAGAAGCCGAGTGGCTTAGAAATTTTTATCCGATATTCCATGTTGGGATAAGACTTTGCCGCCTGTGATGATTCACTGTGATAGCCAAACTACTATAGGTAGGGCGCAAAGCAACTTGTATAATGGTAAGTCTAGACATATTCGTCGTAGACATAATACTGTACGTCAATTGATCACAAACGGTATTATTTTCATTGAATATGTGAAGTCTAAGAAAAAATTGGTTGATCCTTTGACGAAAGGATTGAATAGAGATTAATTGAGAGTTTTGCTAGAGAGAATGGGCTTAAAAATCCACAATTGAAAGAATGATCATAGTGGTAACCCTACCATGCTGAGTGGAGATGCCACGAACTTGGTTCAAAAGGAAAACTAAGCTATGAAAATTTATTTGAGCACTTAGAACATATGAATGTCTAAAGTTATTCCCTAGAACAATGCAAGTGCAAGATTACCTGTTTATTGTGGTGAGGGTAAGTCATATAGACTTTTAATGAATCTCTAACCTTGTAAAGGTTGAGTAAGACAAGATACTCTTGATAGGGAGGTCACCTATATAAGTGTGAAGTGTGGGCCGCTTCAATTGTAAACACTTATGAATCTATTGTGTTGTCCATGGCCAAAACGGACACCACGTTAGAACAGAAAGGTGTCAAGGCTCTATTGTGTGAATGTCATTGTCTAGGTGTACACTATGGAGGAATAATTCAAGAAATTATGTCCACTAGTCTGCAAGTGCATCCGATGATGTTTACTAAAAAAGGTTCAAAGCCAAAAGCTACATTTTCTGATGCAATAGAGTTTTGAGAGGATTGAGCACAAGAGTCTGTACATATGTGTATCTCTTTATTTTCTCTTTGTGGGAGATTGTTAGTGTAACACCCCGCCTTACTAATAAATCAGAGTTGCGCGTTTATTCGCAAAGTCTGTGAAAACTAAAACATTTTTACTTTGCGAAACTGATTTGGGGTGCTACCGTGAAAAGCTTTACTTATCTTTAGAAAACCCGTTGTTTTAACTTATTAAAACGTCCGGTTATTTAAAACTTTATTTTCTGAAAAGTTCGTCAAAATACGATAAAACTGTCAAAATCATCAAACCATCGTCAAAAGATAGTTCAAAAGTAAGCGGAAGCGTAAATATTAGTTATACAGTCCAAAAACATATAAACAAATGTCCTGAAGGTCCCGAGCTGCTCTGTCATGTCACACCGCCGGCCCGACCTGCTGACCTGAAAAATAAGATATAACTGGGGCGTGAGCACTAGGCACTGTGCTCCGTGGAAACTCATACTAATGTAAAACATCGTAAATAATAACAATATCATGAACTAAGCACATATGTCTGAACTGAACTGATACCGGTCTGAACTCGCGACCGAAGTCACGTAACTGAAAACTGATCTCGTGACCGAAGCCACGTAGTGACATAAGTCACATCTGAACTGAACATCTGCCGGCGAACCGGACACCATTTGCACACTCTAGTGGGCAGACTAGGGCCACTAGAACCCAGAATGGACCGGCGGCCATTCCGAGCTGATACTGAAAATACATACCTCGAACATGGTAGAGCAATTATAAACAATGTAGTACTTAGTCTGAGTCCCCACCTGAACTGTCTGACTGACAAGTAGTGCTGATGCCTGCTA